CAGATGGGGATTGGATTACAGGATTGGATTACAAGATCATGTTGCTCTCTTGAGGGTGGTTATACTAATTTCAAAAGTGTGTTAACCTAAATGCACAAGAACGAGGAACAGGGCTGCTTATGGCAAAGATCAATCTTTCACTAGAGGAGTTACATGACTGGGCCATGACTGTCCACATGATCTGCCCAGTTAAGGATTTACAATCAGATCCCCCTGTGACTACTACAGAAAGTAGTAGGGGATCTGATTGTAAATTTTTCATTTACCCAATCTGCATACAAACACATAACGTATTCATCGCTGCCTGGAACTCAAGATAGCTAAAATTAGCCCTGCGTGTGTGGGCTTGATTCCAAGCAGGGGGCATGCAGGAGGCAGCCAGTCAATATTAATGTTTCTATCTCATCAATGTTTCTCTCTCTCTCTCACTCTCTCTTCCTCCCTCTCTAAAATCAACAAAAAACATATTTTTAAAAAATCAGTAAAACTTGAAAAACATTCTCAAATGGTCTTACCTCCCTTACCAAGGGAGATGAGAGCCTCAGCCTACCAGACGGGGTGGGCTTGGGGAGAGGACCACCTGACTCAGCTCAGCAGGACCTGCCTGTGCCTCTGGCCCACCAGGATCTGTTCTTGTCGTCCCCTGCACAGCTCTGACCCTTTGCTGTCCACCCGTGGTGGTCTCCCCCTCCCTGCCTGCGAAGCAGACAGGATTTTACCTGGCAACGTCATCCGCATGGCTGCCAGTAATAACCTGTGTGAAGTCTCAACCTCTTAGAAGAGTATTCCTTAAGAGCCGAGAACACTGTGTTAAGTCCAAAGATTGTCACGTCAGTTTTCAGGCGGCTTCTTTGCCTGTCCCTCCTCTGATCTTGGCTTTGTCTGAGACAAATACAATGAACACAACAGGAATGCACGTCCCAAATCTTTGGTTTCCAAGTAGGCATCAGGAGGGTGACGGGCACCATATGGCCACACATTTATTAATAACAATAAGAGTAGCATGGCTGTCCCCAGTTACCCCAGTATCAGAGCTGTGACCAGTAGGCTGGAGATCAATAGACAGATTTGTATCCCAAATCCCAACTCTGCTTGGGAGCAGTTCCTCTGTGACATTCCTGGCTCCAGACCATCCATCCTCCAGGTCTCAGCTGCCCTTTCTTCCTGTCTTTCCCGATAGTCCGGGCTGACTATTGATTTCACTTCTGGGCACCCCTCTCCCTCAGGCTTATCATTCTATACTGTGACTCTCCACCTGCCTTCTCTAGTAGACTGGACTTAGGGAGGAGCTCCACTCTGCACAGATGGGCCCCCAGGAGGCCACGTCCCTGCAGTGTGGGATGGAAAGCTGAGGGTGCACGGGCCGAGGCTGTACAGGCCCTGGGAAGGAGGACAGAGCTGATGGAGCAGGAAGCCAGGCCTCTTCATCTGGGCCCACCAAGGTGGCTTTTTCCTGAGCTCTCTGCCTAGGTGCACATGTGACACCTAATGGCACTGTTTGGCTGGCTAGGAACCCTGATCTGCCTTCTTCACTGACAAAACCAGGCAGTGTGGTCAGGGCCACCAGCGGAAGCGTGACAGATCATGGGGAGACTAAATCTGACACATGATGCCATGGACAGGGTGGCAGGGAAGTTCGTCATGATGACTGAGGTCTGGGTTCCTGCTGGTTGTAGGCACCCCAGCAAATTCTGCCAGGCCTGAGGGAGAGATCCAGCTTGGACCTACGATTGGAAGGGGCCCCAAGGGCCAGGACCTTGGTATTGTGTCCCACTCTGAGTGGATCCAGGCCACAGGTGGGACACAGCCAAGCCTACAGAGGTCCATCGGACGGGGTCCGGAGACCCACCCTGGGACCCACAGGGTCTCTTTCCTACAGACAGAGTGGGCTTTGGCTGATCCAGGCAGCAGTCCTGAGTGGCCTTTCCTGACCCAGCCCAGCAGGGCCTCTCTCGTGCCTGCCCAGGGCTGGGCACCCTCAGCTCATTTTCCTTCCTCATTGCTATCAGCCCAGTCTGCAAGGACGTTCTCTCTGGGCTGGGCTGACACAACTGCTGCTGCTGCTGCTGCTGCCGCTGCCCATGCTGCCTGCTGTCACTGAGAGTTAAAGCATTTTCATGTTTGGGCAAGTCTGTGACCTCAGTTTTCTCATACGTAAAATGGGAACAATAATAGTACCTGACTCATAGGTTCATTAGGAGGATTAAATGAGTTAACCCACGGAAAGAACTGAGTGCCTGCCATTTACTAAGTGCCACTCTAGCAACTAGAGTCTGTACCTTCATCTAGCTCTCCATCCCCACCAGGATCAACCCAGTTCAGCCTTCTTACCATCTATGGCCCAGAGAACTCCACTGTCCCTCACTGGCCACCCTACTGTCCTGCCTCTCCCCAGCCTTCCTCCCCACAGCTTCCTGGACCCAAACCTTCAAGGGACTACACTCCTCCCTGGCTGACAACCCCAGTGTTTCCAGTGCTCCTAAACCGAAGCCTAAACTTCCTTCTCCTACAAACATCAAGATCTGCAGGGTTTCTCTCTGCTACACTGCAGCACCAGGGCAGGGCTTCTAGAGAAATATCTGCAGGCACCTTCAGCCTTCATCACTTCAAAACTCACCGGGCTTTACAATACCCTCAAAAGCCTATTTACAAATAAACAAACAATAAATTTAAAAATAGAGGTATTTTTTTCTATAAGAAATCACTTTTTTTTTTTTTCGTTTGGTGCACAGATTCCCAAAACTTGAATATAGAAGGTAACATTGAATCACAGTCAACAAGTGCTGTGTCTGGGGCCCAGGCCCCCAACTGCCCAAGCTGAGGTTTTCAATCAGGATGTCTTAAATGTCACGTGATCACCTTGTCAAAATGCAATTTTTCATCAGAAAGCCTAGGCTAAGACCTCAGGTCTGAGATCCCAGATGGGAGTGGCAGGCTTTTGGTTTCTTTCCCCATAAGACTGTGTTTCCTAAGCAAAGGGGCCTGTTTTACTCATGATGCCTACACACAGCAGGTGCTTATAAAGGTTTGTTGAGCCTGGCAGGGCCGGCATGGCTCAGTGCTTGGGCATGGACCGATGAACCAGGAGGTCACAGTTGGGTGTCCAGTCAGGGCACATGCCTGTGTTGTGGGCTCGATCCTCATTGGGGGATGCGCAGGAGGCAGCTGATCAACAATTCTCTCTCACATTGATGTTTCTCTCTCTCTCTCCCCCTTCCTCTCTGAAATCAATAAAAATAGATTTTAAAAAACATTTTGTTGAATGAATTGTGCCTTCCAGGGTACCTAGTCCTAAGGCTTTCCACATGTGGCCTCATTTCACACATGCCTTTGAGACACTCCACTTGCTTCTGAGGATGCTCTGGGTCCAGATCTTGGAGCCCAGGGCCTGGTCCATGCTGAGCTAGTAGCTGTGTATTCAGCTAGAACAGTGGTAGGCAAACTCATTAGTCAAGAGAGCCAAATATTAACAGTACAGCAATTAAAATTTCTTTTGAGAGCCACATTTTTTAAACTTATACTTCTTCTAATGCCACTTCTTCAAAACAGATTCGCCCAGGCTGTGGTATTTTGTGGAAGAGCCACACTCAAGGGGCCAAAGAGCCGCATATGGCTCGTGAGCCGCAGTTTGCCGACCACGGGGCTAGAGGCATTGTTCTCACAGCACTTGTGTCCCAGCCTCTTCACTTACCCCTCTGCAGCCACATCCTGATCCTTGTCTTACCAGATGAGATCCTGCTCAGAAGCCCGAAACACCCAAATTCCCCTTCCTCAGCATAACCTGCCCCCATCTCCCCACGCTGATTGCATCACAACCTCTCTGACCCCCGATTTTTCCATCCTTTCTTCTTACCCTCAGCCAGCCCTAGTCATCTCACAGAACTCTTCCCCACCCCCCTGTCACCCGCACCCCTTTACCACCCCCCTGCCCTGGATCTTTGTCAGGGCCTGACAGCCCCAAGGGGCAGGGTCCCACCCACCTGGTTTTCCTATGTTCTCTCTGGCTACTGTCTCTTTGGTCCTTTGTAGCCTCCCCCAGGGTCAGTCCCTGCCCTCTTCCCTGATCTGCAAACCCTTCCCTGCATCTGCCAAACCCAGGCTCCAGCACAGACTGGGGACCCAGACACTCAACGCCACTCTCTCCTGCGGTCACCACTCCCAACACAGGCCTGAAACCAAGGAGTTGCCCTCCTCTCTTCCCTCCCCTCACCCCTCAGATCTTACCAATTCCACCATCTAAACCTCCACAGGCCAGCCCTCTCCCCTGTGACAGTTTCTTCGAGAATCCCTACGCTTAGGCCCCTGCGCCAAGCCCCTCCGTGCTACCAGGGGGAATGCCGGCACCTGCAGCCAGCCCTCCAGGAGGGGCTGAGGTCCCACCGCACGGGGCAGAGTTGGGCCGTGCTGTTACCGAACCAATAAAAGAATGGGTGTCTGGGGCCCGAGTTCCACCTGCCACGCAGAAAGTATCAAGGAGAAGCTGCCAAGGCCCGTGAGGCAACCCACAGAGGGCTTTACCCCCAGTAACTCCGAGCTGGGAGGGGTGTCAAGAGGTGTGCTTCTCAGGGGACAGGCTCCTCGGCGGACGGTTAGCCGTGTGGCAGGTTGCTGGACAGATCGTCACGCAGGACCAGGCCGTCGTGCCATGGAGGGGGGCCGCTGTGTCGGAAGCTCAGAGTCAGATGTCCCTGACCTGTCAGAGAGGTCGGTCCCTCGTCTTCCCGCAATCAGCCACTCTCTTCTCACTGACAAGATGAGGCGATACCCTTCTGCTACATGTTTTCCAAGTTTCACCCATCTCGAGTACTAGAAAGTGATGAATAAGTCTGTGGTTTGGTGATGGAGGTTCCATGAAAGATAAAAGATTCCTCCGAATGCCGCCCCTTCACCGCTGTGGTTGGCACGCTGGGGCTGCCTATAAAAGGCAGGAGGCCGCCCCGAGCGCGTCAGAACGGCACGAAGGACCGGGACAAGACGGAATGCGGCCTGCCAGCCCGAGGATGAGCGGCCTCCCAGTCCTGCCCCTTGGCCTGCTCCTGCTCGCGCTCCACGCCCCTCAGGCACCGGGGCAGCCCATAGGGACCGACTCCAGTACTTACTCCCCGCTGATCAACGAAATCCAGGCCATCCTCAACGAGCCGCCGGTGCCTTCCCCAGTGAGTAGCGGGATGAGGTTGGCGTGGGGCAGGGAAGGGCTGGCAGTGCTCAGGCCAAAACGGGACTCATGGCCCCACTTTCTCTCTCCCCCACAGGACCGCCTGAGCTCCAATGAGAAATTCATCCTGAGGGTAAGAGCTCAGCCCCACACTTGGGTGCACTCCTGCCTGGGGGGGGGGGACCTCAGACATGCCACACCACTTTGCCGAATCTCAGTTTTTCCGTCTGTAAACAGAGTTAGCAGCACCTAGCTCGGTGGGGTGGCTGTGAGTTAAATGGCCTCACCGTGCGTGAAGTGCCCAGATCAGGGGACCGGGACATTTTCCCAGCCATGGCTATAGTACTAACAAGTTTCTGTTTTCATTACAAAACGAAAAGGCAGCTGCAGGTGAATAAAACCAGAGGCCGTAAGCTCAGCTTTCAGGGGGCAGCCCCTGGACTGGCAGATTGAACCCCCAACCCCCCCCTCCCCCCCGAAAATGCCTGCTTCTTTCCTTTCCCTTAAAAAGCTGAGTTCTGCTTTCCGCGCTGACCAGCCGTGGGTATTATCATTCACAATTATTTCTCCTAAATGGGAACTATGTCATCTTGAGTGCACGGGGTGTCAAACCTCTGCTGAGTTTATTGGCTGCCTGCAGTTCCCTCCAGGCACTCCCAGTTCCATGATGGGGGCGTGGAGGGGGCTGGATTTTCTTCCCGATTCCTCAGAGCCCTTAATGCAGTCGGGGCATTTACCCTGTTGGCTGCAAGAATGTCCCTTGGCCAGCGCTTTCTCCCCAAGTGCAGAAGGGCCCCGGGGCCTCTGTGCAGCTCACATGGAGACAGGGGCTCCGGTGGGAGGCGAGTGGGCCTTGCCTGGGCCGTGCTCACACATCCAGGCCTATGTCCTCTGGGGCATGACCTGGTGAGAAGGGGATGAGGAGGGCATTGTCCAAGGGGGTCCCTGAAGGAGTCCTGGAAAACTGGGGGGGACTTCAGCCTGGTCATGGGAAGGACACTCCCCAAGGTCCCCCTCTTACATGTATTCTTGGTCCCCTCAGAATGAAACTTTTCTGAAGCTAAATCTGGATACATTCCTGAATGCTACCCATCATTTTGCAGACAAGGGAGACAAAATCCGGGCACTTCTTAAGGTAGGTGAAGCTGTTGAGGGCTTTGGGCTCCCGCTCGGCCCGGTCCTTCCTCTGAGGAACCTCTCCAGGGCCTGCTCCGTTCCCAGGAGAAGCTCTGACGGTCTGCTTCGGTCTCTTCCACAGGAATTCAAGACAGGCCTGCCCACCCCCACGGCCATGGTAAGCTGCCCCCTGTGACGCCCCTGCAAGTGGTGCCACCAGGCACCACCGGACCCTCAGCCTGTCACCTGCCTTGCCACCCAGCCTCATCTAATACCACCTTTCCGATTTCTCCACAGGAAGAAGACCCGATCAGTATCAAGACGGGGAACTGGGGGGATTTCAGGAGGAAACTGAATGAATATCTGTATGCCCTTAAGAACCGGAGCGGCCGGGACCGGTTTGTCTCAGTGGATAGAGCGTCGGCCTGAGGACTGAAAGGTCCCAGGTTCGATTCCGGTCAAGGGTATGTACCTTGGTTGCAGGCGCATCCCCAGTAGGGGGTGTGCAAGAGGCAGCTGATCGATGATTCTCTCTCATCGATGTTTCTAACTCTCTATCCCTCTCTCTTCCTCTCTGTGAAAAATCAATAAAATATATTTTTAAAAAAAAGAAGAAGAAGAAGAAGAAGTGGAGCAGTTACTAGAATCCAGATCTCTCTGGGCCTTCTCGCTATAGGAACCTGGGACGTCCCAAGCAGCAAAACCTCTGAAGACTCTGAGACGTCTCTCCCGCAGTGCAGGACCAGAGGGTTTTATTTTCTCCAGCAAAGTCCGATGAATTGTTATTTATCTAATTTATGTTGCAATTCTGTTATCATATTTATCCTATTGAGACTATTTATGTATTCATTTATTTATTACTGTGCAATGTGAGTTGTATTTATTTTAGCAGAGGAGCCATGCCCTGCTCCTTCCGAACAAATCAGGAGGGGTGTTGGGGACATGATCTTTTGTACCTCAGGTTTTGAACCAGTTTCCATACATCTGTGAAAATAAACCATACTGTGAACAACTGCTTTGTTGCACGTGTCTCAGTTTGACTCAGCTCTTAGGTGCTCTCTTGCCTGATAACTTGGGCACTATCCCCACCCTCCCTCTGCCTGCCCCGCCCCTCAGGCCTCATTGCCACCAGATGGGGCCCAGAACTCAAACCCTGGCAATCTGTGTTTTCTTGGGGAACCAGTTTTAGAAAATGCAAATCTAACCGGGTTGGCTTCATTCTTAATTTTCCAATCCCCTCCGGGTCTGGACCTTTCCTTCTCCTTAGGAAAGCATCAGAGGCCAGCTTCCACGTGTGCTTCTCCTTCCTTACTCCCACAGCGACCCATCCCCTCCAGGCTCCAGCCAACAGACACGCCGCCGTGGCTTCCTAAATGAACCACACACCTGTTTCCTACCTCTAACCCTTCCCCCACACTGTCCCCTCCGCATTTCTTTTCCTGACGTTCAGTTCACACAGTGAACTGAGCGCCTGCGTCAGGCCCTGCACGGATGCTGGGGACGTGGAAGGGGGCCAGGGAGGCCGCTTTCGACTGAGCTTTCGACTGAGCGGCCTGGCAAGGCCTTCCTGAGGAGGTGACGTATAGGTTGAAACCAGAATAACAAGAAAGTGCCAGCCACGTGGCAACTAGGGAGGACAGAGGGAACCGTAGCCAGCGCAGGGATCTGGAGACCGAAGGAGGCTGAGAGCACTCATGGGACAAAGGGAGACCTGTGGTGGGGGACTCTGGGAGGAGCCCGCCACTCTCCCGCAGTCTCCCCCCCCCCAAGCCCTGTGTCAGTGACTGATGACTGCAGGAGGCGGTAAGGGGTCAGGTCAGACCCAGGCCTGGGGTGGGGAGACCAGAGGTGTGGGAGAGAGATCAGCGCCCGCAGGACCCGCCGCAGGAGTGGGGGTGATGGTGGAGAGGACATGTTTGAGAGGCGGGTGGGCCTTTTCAGATGCTCTGGGGCTCTCACTGCCCTTCCTATGGAGCAGTCCAGTCCATCCACGTTGGATGGGGATGAACATGGACTTGGCCAGGAGGGCTCACCCCAAACATCAGACTCTCCTGGGGCCAGCACAACCCAGCTGCGGCTGTTCAGTCATCAGTCTGGGAGGGCTGATGACTCCCCCTGCAGGTCTATCAGTTTCACTCTTTCCTCCAAGCCTATCCAGACTGTCCTTAGCTCCAGGTACATAAGCCCAGTGGCCACAAGGGGACAGCAGAGCCTCACGGTCCAGAGGAGGGCAGGCTGGGGGCCAAAGTTCCCTCCTCCCCACTTCAGCAGAAGAGTAGATTGCCTCAACCAGGAATTTTACTTTTCATTTTAGCTGTGAAAATATTAGTTTTTCACTGGGAGGAAAATATGAGGGAGCATATACGCTCTTTAACTGAAAAGAAAAATGTAGACATGCAGACAAGCAGAGCAAAGAGAAACTGCCAGGAAGAACGTGCCTGAGGAGCGGAGGACGGAGAGGCACCGCCAGCCCCTACCTCCCTGTGAGGCCTCCTGCTCCAGGAGGGGCCCTGCCCTCCCTCCCTGGCCTCGAATCCACACTTGACTCAGCTCAGCAAACACCCCGAGGATCCTCCGTGGCTTACTCAGGCCGGGGCGCAGGGCCCACGGCTTACCCAGGCCGGGGCACTTGTCCAGTTGGCCCAGCGCAGTGTGGTGGAGGCCGTTAAAAACAAGGTGGAGGCTGAGGGCTCTGGGTCTCGTCAGAGGTGCTTCCCACAGGAGGTGATGCACAAAGGAGGAGTAGGAGCGTGTCAGGAGGAGAGAGGCGCAGAGAAGGGTGCCAGCAGATGACAGTGGGGCCAGGATGTGGAAGTCTAAGAGTTCAGGGCAAGCGCGGGCTTAGGAGAGTTGAGGCAGTTTATAGGACCCGCGTGTGGGTGCCGGGAGAGGCAGTCCCCCCAGAGCGCCCAGCTCACTGCCTTTGCTCCGAGAGGCCCGCCACCCTGGGCCACAGGCAGCTTTGGATTCAGCCATGTTCCCTCCTCAATTTCTCCCTCCCAGATCCTGCCTGGCCGCTGTGGAGACCAGGAGGTAGGGTGGAGCCATATCAGGGATACCGTGTTTCCACGAAAATAAGACATCCTCCAAAAATAAGACCTACTTACAGGTTTCGTTCTGAGTGAAATATAAGGCATCCCCCCGAAAATAAGGCCCCCCTAGGCTAAACATGAGAGATTTGGTCCACTGATTCTGAAAGAAATGGAGTCACAAGAAATTCACCAGGAAATTCAGGAATTGGATTGTTATGATGATGTTCCAGAAGATGATGACATGATTGTCAATGAATAAATGAGTAAATTCTTGATACTGTAGGATTCACAGTTTGTCTGGTTTGTGTTGACAACTACCGTACTACCGTACTACCGTACCATATACAGGTAATACATTTCCTTTATTTTCATTTAACAATAAATGTGTACCATATTCTTCTTCATGGAAAAATAAGACATCCCCTGAAAATAAGACCTAGCGCATCTTTGGAAGCAAAAATTAATATAAGACACTGTCTTTTTTTTCGGGGAAACAGGGTAGGATGGTTGTGTTTAAAGCCCACAGGAAGGAGCGGGGCAGAGGGAGAGAGATGCCGGAGAAAAGGGCCCAGCCGAGCAGGAAAGGGTTCCTGGGCCCACAATGGAGCGTGGGAGAGGAGAGACACTGTGGATCAGAGTGGTGCTGGGGCCTCAATTTCCTCTTGGAAATTTTAGGTCAGGCTAATGGAGGTGAAGATGTATCAGGCAAAATTGCTGTTGTTCTGCTGAGCAGAGGAGGGACTCAGAGAATCCTCTCAATGACCTGCTGAAATCTATTATTGCCCCATTTTACATACAGAGAAACTGAGGCACAAAGAAATTAAGGAAGTCTAACTCCAGAGCCTCTGAATCCTTAAACCACAGTGCTTTGGCCAATGCCCACTGAGGCTGAGGAGCCTTTAGGTCTGGCCCACGGCCCACCTGGCATCTCCCCTTGGTTGGATCCAGCGGTACCTGCTGGCTCCAGCCCCAAGGGCAGCAGCCCAGCCTCCGTGCCTCAGCTCCATCCCCCATTTACCAAACCACCATACATTCATCATCAAATTCCTCTACAGGCCATGTGTCCCTCCCCCCGCCCAGCACAGTCCCCATCCCCAACCCTGGGGCTTAGATCCCCAGCTGGGCCCCATCCCCACACCGCATGGGGCTTATGAGAGGGACCACAGTCTCACAGCCATCACCTGCCTTGCCTGCGGTCAAGGCCTCCTCCCTCCCACCTTCTCAAAGACCCAGGCTCCGCTTCTACCTCCAGCCTTGGCTGGTGCTGACACCTCGCTTCTCTCCCAGGAGCACTCCCTGCCCCTGGGGGCCCACGGCATCCTAGTCTGAGGCCTCTCACCTTTGCAGAGAGACACCCTCCCCTCACCCCCTGGCTGCCCCTGGGGCTTCTTCCAGCTGACACTGGGGACTGTCTTGCTCTGCCCTGTCCTGGAGGACATGGGGGCTGGGCCAGAGCCCACCCAGGAGCAGCCAGGAACAGCAGGCTGTGACACTGACGATGTGCACCCTGAGGGGGCTTGTGTCAGAGAGGCGGGGGGAGGGGCCCCTGGAGGGAGGGAAGGCGTGGCCCGGGCAGGTTCCGAGGGACAGACGCAGCCCAGAGCTGTAGGAGCACCTGGGAGTGGGGAGTGGGCTACGGACTCAGAGCGCTGGGAGTGAGGGCCTACCCAGGTGATGGCGGTGGGTGTTCTTCCCATCTCCTTCCACAGACTCTGCCCCCCTCCCTGTGGGCCAGGCCGGGCCTCCTGAGATGGATAATAAACAGTGGGCAGCCACTGCTGCCCCTCGGAGGGGCTGTGAACACACCCGCTTCTCCCTGTTCTCCTCAGGCTGAAGGCTGGACTCTGTGGTTACTTGCTCCTTCCAGCCAGGACGGGAGTCCCCTGGCCTGGTAGCCTCAGTTGGCTCTTTCCAGGAAAATCCACGTGACTGACTCATTTCTTAGTCAGCCTACCTTAGCTCATCCAGGCTGCCCTGCGGGGTTTGCCTCCTGCGGCTGGGTGTGGGAGGTGCTGGCTACTGGGGAGAGGCGTGCACAGGGAGCCCCCATCAGGGAACCCAAATTCACCATCATCTCCAGGGTCCAGGACAGCTTTGGAGACGGGTCCAGCCCCCAGCAATCTCTCCCTTCTCTTATGGACAAGGAGTCTGAGGCTGGGGGGTAGGGGTGAGTACAGCACCTAGTCAGCCAAAACATGTGACCAGAGCTCCCCAACAACCCACAAAGCCACCTCCATGTGGAGTTGAGCCGATTGGGGCTCAGAGGCAAGAGTCACGTGCAGTGAGGAGTGGCCAGGCTTGAAGGCAGGCCTATCACCCCCAAACTTGCATTCATCACAAAGGGGGCTGTTGTGCCCCCAGGAAGCTACACAAGGGACTGGGCACACCCCTACTGGG